CTACATCCCACCCTTAGATCTTCTGCTTGAGGATACTCCAAAGGTTCTCGATAGGGTTGAGAACCTTATCGAGAACCTATAAAGTTTATGGTGTTTCATGAGAAACACCATGAGTTTCTCATAGTGTGGTCACCATGAGTTTCTCCCCTTTTATGCCCATAAAAGGGGCACACAGGAATTCCTTTCCGCATTCCTGTGTCATGCTGCAAGGAATGACACAGTGGTATTCCTTGCAGCATGCATTGTCATGCATAAATATGATTTTACTACTGAAGGTACGGCTCTTCATTTTGAACCATGAAAGAAAGTGATCAGTCAGAATGTCCATATACTTTGCTGAGGTCATTTTCACCCCTTCGGGGTCTCTGAAAGATCCTCCATCTTGAGGTTCAAGAGGCACCAGCAGCTTCAAATAACTGTTTGCTGCTTTGTAGGGGCATTTTAACAGCTGCTCCCTTAATCTGATGAATTTGTCTAACAGAAACCTTCCTCATTGTGCCTTTATCTACACAAAATCCTTTGTTCTGAATCAGCCTCTCTCTTCACAGTACGATAACGCTTCAGTTTTTGTTAAATATCTAATGTTTTCATACCTTGTCATATGGCACTACACTATCTGATGATTTTCGTCAGCAGAGAGATCCTAACTCTTTCCAATATTGCTTGAAACCTGTGGCTTATTAATAATGTGGAACATCCTTCTTCAGTAGATTTCCTTTAATTGAGCTCACCAGACAAACTAATCAACCAGCTTTCTGAAATTAATTATAGTGATTCAAAGAGCCCTGACACACAATATCATCTATAAAGTTAATACCACAACAAAAAATTTAATCTTTATGACACTTAAATCCATTTTGCATCATAATTTGGAACACGGTGTATTCTCTGAGCTACAGGGAGCCAGTGAAGGACTTTAGAACTGGTGTTACGTGCTCAATCATCCTGGTTTTAGTGAGAACATCAGCAGCAGCGTTCTGGATCAGCCGCAGTTCGAGGACTGATTGTTGGGCAGACCCAACAAATGTGTTACAGTAATCAATGCAATTATAATTATATAAACATAAGATTGCTCTCATTACTCATCAATATTTAAACGGAATTTCACCAGACTATCTGAAGGACCTTCTTGTTCCATATTCATCTTCGCGTTCATTACGGTCACAGAGCAGTAATTTTCTCCACCTTTCACAGACTAAATGAAGGCCCATGGGAGATTGGGCCCATTCTGCGTGGCTGCCCCCGCCTGTGGAACTCTCTCTCGGACCATAAGAGCTCCACAATCACTGGCTCACTTTAAAAGAGGCTTAAAGACTTTTCTTTTTAAACATGCCTATTCTATGTCTTATCATTGGTTTTAACTTTTATCATTTTTTGAAACATGCTTTGATTGTTATTCTCTGTGATTACACAAACGTATTATTATTATTATTATTATTATTATTATTATTATAAAACCACTGAGGTTGAGTTCACCCTGCAAAATGAACAACTCAAATGTTGTCATTAAAAAACTACAGAACAATGTGGAATTCATCTCTGTCCTATGAGATTAATGGGAAGTTGAGGTTGATTGTGGCATTCCTTTGACATTACTCACATTTAATTGTGCAAATGTGTATGTCTGGGTGTGTTTTCTACCATGCTCTTAGGATGTATATCAGGCCTCTCTAGGGCTATGGTGATGCAGTTCAGAAAAATGAAAAGCAGGACGATGTGATCAAACATCTTGTGACTTATAACCTTCTGACACCACAGCCTTAGCCTAAAGAGAGACACAATCAGAAGAAAAACAACATCAGCTACATCTCCAGGCTTCACACAAAACACAAGGATCACTTATTTCACAACACAATGTCCACACACAGAGT